AAAACCCCAGCGGATTCGTCTCTTTCACGTTCGTCTGTCCCCTCTACATCAAAAACACAAAAATAAAATGCAGCCACAAAAATATTTCTGAGTGCACAATTTCAGCAGCACCCTTGGTGGTTCAACGCCAGGACAAAAATACATTCTGGACTGGTTTCCACATTCAGTAGCTCAGCAGTCAGGATCGCTTGAGAATGTAAAACACGGCGTTCAATGTGACGAATATAAATTGTGAAGGTGCAGCCGCTGCAACGGCTCGCTCACGCCACTGCAGGCGGAAGGGCCTCCACTAGAGGGCGCTCTGCACAGCCCCTCAAGCCAGGGGCAGAGAGCTTGGGGATCCGTGGTGGCTAGATGTTAACCACCTCGCCTGGTATACAGGAAGTCGTGGGTTCAATCCCGACCCTGACAGCTGCTGTACATCTGAGTTTGTGGTTTCTCCCTCCTCGTGATCTAGAATCAACATCGCGCCTTCAGAGTATTTGGCTGCTTTGAATTTCCTCCTGGTGATCAGCCCACTTCGTTGAGCTATCATTTGTGATGGCCAGGTCACTTCTGCAAGATATCGACATCGCTCAGTGGGGCCTTACCTGGTAAAATAAAAACAGTTTAGTTTGTAGGCTTTAACTATAAATATTATTTTAGTTGCACCGTGTGTTGGGTTTAGTTAAAGACAGTCTCACAGTGACAGTATCAATGAAAATATGTTAAGGTTACAATACTCACAGTTCAGTAAAAGAAATAAAAGAAGTTTAAAGGTTGTGAACCACAACACGACCACAGCAGTCACGGCGCTTCGTCAGTGCACTGCTGGATGAAGGCCTCGCCAAGCCGGTGGGTCGTGGTGATTGTTCGACCATACCTCACCACGGGTGGTGGTGGCTATGCACGTGACCTGTGACCCAGCGCTGTGGAGGCAGCAGCAGCAGGGAGGGTTGGTGGATCACCGCACGATTTTTTCAGAACTCCCCTCTCGTGACCGTGGAGGATACGTCGTACCCCGGGACTCGCCACGAGAGGGCGGCACAGCAAAGTGAGATCATCATAGAGGCGCCACTCTTATCAGCGAGGGCATCATACTTTGTGAGCTCTATCTTCGGGACATTTTTTGGCAGTTTTTAAAATGATCAAAAACTATTAGAGTTTACCCTTTCTGGCAATAAAACAATAGTTGTGATAAAATGTTCAAACACCAAATAGATGATACCTTTGGCAAGGCATCAAGTCTGCATGAACCACAACCAACTCGTGGCAGAACATGCAAACAAGGCGGTATTTATTTTTGCCTTTCTCCAAGTGTGGCCAACGTGATCCTTGAAAGGAAGTTTTGAGTCTACGATGACCCCAAGGTAATTCGTTTCATCTGCCTGCTCAATTTTTTCATTATCTAAGACTGCACCGCTGAGGAAGACTTGCCGGCTGTCTTTTCCTTGGAAACACTTCACCTTTGCTGTATTGGCATTGAGGACTAGCTTAAGTGAGATTAGTCGGTGCTGGAATCTAAATCACTCTGTAATTTCTGTGTACATCTTCGGGGTAATTGCCAGCAGCCCTCAAAATGGTGTCATCAGCAAATGTTTAATCTAAGAGTGGTCAAGCTGGGTGCCCAAGTCATTGACATACAGGGAGAACAAGATATGTCGAAAAACGGAACCTTGAGGTACAACCCTTAGTAACTTAAATTTTGTTAGACACCAGAATGGCAATGGATACGATCTGATTCCGTCAAAAAAGGTAGATTTTGAACCAGTCAACTGTGTGCTCGGAAAATCGTAGGCTTCGAAGTCTATATGATAAAATGCTATGGTCGACTGTATCAGATGCTTTGGATAGATCTAGGAATAGGCAGGCGCAGTGTTTTTTTATTTCCAGATAATTGAAAATAAAATTTAAGGTGTCCATAACAGTTGAGGTTGTTAAGTATTGTTTGCGGAAGCCTGATTGTTTTGGATGTAACTTAGCTGATTGTTTTGGATGTAACTTAGCGGATTGTTTTGGATGTAACTTAGCTGATGGTTTTGGATGTAACTTAGCTGATTGTTTTGGATGTAACTTAGCGGATTGTTTTGAATGTAACTTAGCTGATTGTTTTGGATGTAACTTTGCTGATTGTTTTGGATGTAACTTTGCTGATTGTTTTGGATGTGTTGAAGAGTGTCGGACGACTCGTTTTCAAGGGCTTACGCCGGTGTTTTATTAAGGGCTTACGCCAACTTAACACTGAGGGTGTAACACTTTCCCAGGGGTTAGGGGTCCTAGCAACAATAGCGGCCGCCTACAGCATCGTAGCCAAAATGGCGGCCGCCTGCGGCGTCGTAGCCAAAATGGCGGCGTAGCCAAAATGGCGGCCGCCATCTCCCGCGGCGCATCCGTTGGGAAGATGGCGCCAATTTCAAAAGTGGCGGGAGGCGCATTTGCGGGAATCCGCCGCTCCCATTCCGAGTGTGGGCCGGGTGATAGCAACCGCGCACCCACCTCGGTAATTGTGGCGGAGAGCTTCGCCATGGCCTGCAGGAGCAGCTGCAGCTGCCCTGCGAATGCGCTCCCCGCCTCCATTCTACGTGACTGAACCAAGAAGAAGTCTCCTTCCTGCTCCGGGGACACTGCCGGAGCCTCCTCCACGCCGTCTTCACTCTCTAAGCGCCCCGTCGATAGGTTCTTATGCCGCACGCCAGATTTTGACATGGTGGCGGCAGCGCAGGCACTCTGACACCACTTGTTGAAGTGTCAGACGACTTGGAGGCACGTTTTCAAGTAAGGGCTTACGCCAACTTAACACTAAGGGTGTAACACTGTTCCTTGGCTCAGCTGGCTGTCCGGGCTGCCTCCTCAGCGCCGGCCGAGGGCTGATCCAACTTCGGCCAGCCGAGGAGTGCAGCTTCTCCTAGCGCTTACGCTGACCCTTCTACAGACCCTTCTTCCTCACCCCTGGTCCTAACACCCACCCTTCACGTTTCCTGCTGCCCGCCATGATCCCGCTCACGTCACGGGCTCCTGTTTAAGTACCCTTGCGGGACATGACGTCACCCCGCCAGCAGGCGTGCATGACGCCACTTCCCGTGACGTCATCGTCCCTGGAAGCGAGCGTGACGTCATGCTGTAACTAGTCCCCGACAGATGTAACAGCTCACCTGATTGTTTTGGTTGTAACACCTTACTTTCTGCAAGAAAGTTGCTTACTTGGGCGTTTAATTATTTGTTTAATAATGTTATCAATGGAGGTGAGATTAATATTGCCCGTTAAAAATCAGCATCATCTAAAAACCGACTTTTGTGTAGGGGGCAAACAAAAGCAGTTGTCCATTGAGTTGTTACAGAGGCGTCTTTAATGGACACATTTCATATGTGGGTTAGGGGCCTGAAAATCAAGTCACCCACTGCATTTAAAGTGAAGGCAGACAAGCCGTCAGCTCCAGTGGAGGGCTTGTTTGGAAGAAACAACTTCTTTGGGACATCAAGCTCTGTCATGGGATGGAAATTGAATTATTTTGGATCTGCGTCAGATTATTTTTGGATGGTACCAACGCTTTGCATTTGCGACCAATATCATCCATAATAGAAGGGTTCATTTTCTTGTTTTTTTCGGTAAAGTCACGTAGAATGGAAATAATATAAAAATAAAACATAATAAATTAATTCTACGTGACTTTACCAAAAGAACCAAGAAGATGAATCCCTGCAGTCACGAAAGCTTTAAATCGAAATAGAGGGGGTTGTTTGGGTTAGATCACGTAAATATATAAATGTGTCATGCCAATTCGTCACTAGTACAGCACACCGGTGTGTTGGAGAGCCAAGCCACAACATTTACACTCCGAGTACGACGTTTCGCCAGTAATTACAACTAGCGTCATCAGGCGACAGCCAGATTTGTGGAGAAGTCCACCTGCTTCGTTTCTTATTTAGAGGCGTAGATGTGGTGACCACGCTTCTGCGCTCTTGCACAAAGTGGAAGGGGGGGGGTTAATGAGTCAATGTACATTATGTATGTGCATCATGCGAGCCCTTTCATCCCGTCCTTCCTGTCTATTGTGTGTATTAAAATAGCCGTGCCAACGGTAATCCCTATTTAAGTATGGTGTCCTGTATAGGCGTGCATTTAAATAATGTATTATTTGATGATTCTCTTCCACACAGCACTAAGTCGGTAGCTATCCAAACGGTTAATTTTTTTTCTTTCAATTTCGATAGATTATCTAATTAGTATTGGCCAGTAGTAGCTAGTTTTCAACTGAACTTAAACATTATCAAAATCAATAGAGTGAACTTGTTGGCACGCGTGTTCTGCTACTGCTGACAGTTGTATTTGGGAGTTTTTAATATTTCTCTGATGTTCTTTAAGTCTCGTGCTGATCACATCCGTCCTGTTTGTCCAACATAACATAACATTTGCCACAAGTGCAGTTAATCCTGTGCACACCTTCTGTTGGTAGCTTCGGTAAATTATCTTTTGTACCAGATTTTATGTACCGTGCCAAATCTGACACGGATGTTTTGTTTTTCCAAACATCTGGCTAGTTTATCAGTTACTCCCGCAATGTACGGTATTTTGATCGTTTTAATGAAATAGTTTCAATGCTCGTGTTATGTGATTTGGTTTTGGCATTCAAATAAAATAACACGAGCATTGAAACTGCCAAAGTAATTCAAGCGTATTCTTAGGTTTTTTTGGTAAAGTCACGTGCTGTGACTGTTCCACCTGAAGACGGAAGCTTTTGTTGCCTCCGAAACGTCGTGATTTTTATTTTACTTTTATTAATTTAAATTTTTTACCTACGTGACTTCACCGAATAAACCTAAGAATATGAATCCTTGCAGTCACGAAAGCTTCAAATCTAGAATTAATTAAAACGTGTTTACTCCCCACACACTGATTGGTCAGTGCGAGGCTGCCCCCCCCCCCCCCAATGCCCCTCCCCCACCCAGCCACGCCCCCCACGCCGTGACCGCTGCTCCGCGAAGGGGGATTCCACGCCCCCCGCAGTTTTAAAGTTCCCAGCGAGAGTCACCCCCAGTCGCCTTGTTGCTGCTGCTGCTATGGCCGCGTGTTCAGTGCGACCCCACGCCCCAGCTCCTCCCCACCAGCATCACCACAGCTGAGAGGTGAGGTTGTCTGTCTACGCGTTGTCTCTGTGTGTCTCTCACTCTGTCTACGCGTTGTCTCTGTGTGTCTATCACTCTAGTCTACGCGTTGTCTCTGTGTGTCTATCACTCTGTCTACGTGTTGTCTCTGTGTGTCTATCACTCTGTCTACGCGTTGTCTCTGTGTGTCTCTCACTCTGTTTACGCGTTGTCTCTGTGTGTCTATCACTCTGTCTACGCGTTGTCTCTTTGTCTACCACTCTGTCTACGTGTTGTCTCTGTGTGTCTATCACTGTCTACGCGTTGTCTCTGTGTGTTTCTCACTCTGTCTACGCGTTGTCTCTGTGTGTCTCTCACTCTGTCTACGTTAACACGATCCACACTGCGATCACAACAACGATAACGAAACCTCCACGCCATTGCGTGACCACAGACTTCCTCTTTTCGCTCAGTGCGGGATGGGTGACTCGCTGGGCTCAGCTCGCCTGTGGAATTTACCGTGACCGGGTCTCTCTCGTGCCACGTAAATCAGCCCCGCGGTTCACAAGTAGCCTCACGCTTTCCCCAAGCAATTCTGCTCTGCCACACCGTCTGTTTATTCCGCTGGTGGTGAGTGGAGCGAGAGATGTGATGAACCACTCTCTTCTGTTTTCAACAGGAGACGGAGGCACCATGAAGTGGCTCCTGGTCGCAGCGTTCATCTCCCTCCCGCGTGAGTTCACACCGAGAAGCACTCACCCAGCACACGTGGAGCGGTCTCCTTCAGACCCCTTTCCCACAGCCGAGCCGTGCCAGCCCAGAGCCCTGACGGTCCTGGTGGTTTTCCACTGGCAGTTTGCTGCACTGAGCCAGAACCAAACCGCCCTGGCCTCATAAGACGTCGGAATCCCACCCAGGGCCAAACAGGGCCAGGTGCAGCATTTCAAATTTTCAACATACAGTGGTACCTCGGTATAAGTCGTTAATTCGTTCCAGAAGGTAGGACTTATACCGAAAATGACATATGCCAAACGCATTTTTCCCATAAGAAAGGGAAAGGAAATAATCCGTTCCAGAGTATAAGAAATGATATTTTATATGGCATATTATACTTTAATGGGGTTGCATACAATAATTTAGACACTACTTATTAATAAAATGCATACATAAATTTAAATAAATGCATAAAAAATGTAACGTCACTTTACCTTGCTGAGAGGAGTTGATAGCCGACGAGGATGGTGGTAAGGAAGGGGAGGAAGAGGAGATGTTATCTTTTTGGAAGGAGAGTCAGGCAGACTGAGGAGCGGCGCTTTGTTTCAGTCGTGAATGGGGTATACGTGGATACTGTACGCGGGGACTCATCCCGACCCATACAAGTTCTAGCAAGCGGGTCGTATCCCAAGCAAGACGTCGTATCCGAAGACATTTTTTTCTCGTCAGAATTCTAAATTCGACGTATTCCAAAGCGGTCGTATACCGAGGTATGACTACATGCATCTCGACTCTATCACGGTACGGCTCAGCCCCTGCAGTGGAAAAACAGTCTGGCCTCCTCCTGAGCTGTATCGGCTTGGCACAGTCTCAGCATGGCTCAGGTGTGCAGTGGAAAAGAAGTGATGTTGAACCAGTTGAGAGTCCAATGGAGGTCGTCATAATGACGTCATGGCGATGACGTCATGGCGATGGGATCCCAGTGCCAGGGCCCCCGTGTAGCCGTGAGCGTCGGTGCCTCCCGTGGTCGAGCTGCGCTGAGACTCATCCCACACGCCGCCCGTGTGACCACGTGAGCACTGACGGTGAGGGAGGCACTCACCAGGTGAGTGGTCTTCCTCTCAAATAGCTGATGCTGAATGAAGCAAATCTTAGGTCACTCTTCAGTGAGCTCCTCCTTTTGTTATTCACTGATGCTGCGTCAGTATAAGCGTGGATGTTACAGTGCCGCTGTGTGTAACACCTGCATCGAGACATATCTTAGTATCTCTGCTATTGCTGAGTGGACCTGTGGTGAGCACTGTAAGGATAGTGAACGGTCTCTCTCTGTATAGACGTCTGTAGTGAGAGAGTTTAGCTGATCTCTGTCGAGACATCTCTCATGAGAGTGACCGGTCTCTCTCTCTGTGTAGCTGTGACGTCTGCTGTGAAGCTCCAACTCTCCCTACCAGAGAGCCTGGATGTGACGGAGGGACAGAGCGTGACTCTTGCCTGCTCATTCTCCCCACCGTCGACCGATTTGAGTGACCTCTTCATCTCGTGGGTCATGATACCGACAGGCTACCCAGTAAGCATGCACAGATGATATCATAAATGTGAGAACCTCCTTCCATGGCAACCCTGAATATTCAACTCAGTAACTGATGTCTATGTCGCACGTATCAGAGAGTAATACGTTATGTTCCAAAAAATAAAAAAAGTCGCTTAATCACTCAGGAATGCCACACCGAGTCTCAAGACCCTATTAATGAGAAGGGTCTTGTCATTTGAGTTCGTGAGGGTTCGGAATCATGTTGAGATGAAACCGGAGAACCCAGGAAAAAAAACAATCACACAAAGGGATAATGGGCAAAGCTCTACACAGACTCAATCCATAGATAGAACCACTCTTTAACGCTACCTGTAAACCAAATCTGTTATCACAATATCCTGGCCACCTTGCAGCCTTGCAGCCCCTGGCATTCCCAGTCAAAGTATTAAGTAAGTTCAACCCTGCTTGGCTATCGAGATCCGATGAGTTCAGATGCATTGTGACTTGATCATAGTAGACTTGTGGTTTATGCTCCAATTTGTGTTTCGTGCCATTCCAGATCTACGACTCACATCTTGGGAATCTCTGGCTTGAAATAGCTGAGTTTGCGGGAAACGAGGAGAAGGGCGACTGCTCGATTAGGCTCTTGAACATCTCCAGGAACCTCGGCCCCGTGCTTAAGTGCCACGTCTACTGTTACCACTGTGGGACGGATGACTGGAAGGTGGAACGAGAGGTGAAGCTGAACGTGACGGCTGCAGGTGAATGAGAGGGGAGCATCGTGCTCATCACACGTTGGCGCTGTGACTCGCACCGTCGCTCGTGCAGACAGTGGTGGGTGGGAGGTCAAGGGTCACAGATCACAGGGTGGAGGGTGCAGAGCTGGAGAGTGGTCGTTGTACAGAGAAGAGCCTCAGCAGAGAATCTCTGATGCAAGTGAAGCCGTGTTGAGTGAGTGATCTGTCCCTGCTGCACGTGAAGCCGTGTTGAGTGAGTGGTCTCTGCCTGTTGCACGTGAAGCCGTGTTGAGTGGTCTCTCCCTGCTACCTGTGAAGCCGTGTTGAGTGAGTGGTCTCTCCGTTGCACGTGAAGCCGTGTTGAGTGAGTGGTCTCTTCCTGCTGCATGTGAAGCCGTGTTGAGTGAGTGGTTTCTACCTGCTGTATGTGAAGCCGTGTTGAGTGAGTGGTTTCTACCTGCTGTATGTGAAGCCGTGTTGAGTGAGTGGTTTCTACCTGCTGTATGTGAAGCCGTGTTGAGTGAGTGGTTTCTACCTGCTGTATGTGAAACCGTGTTGAGTGAGTGGTCTCTCCCTGCTACATGTGAAGCCGTGTTGAGTCGCTGGTTGAGGCGGTGGTGCTGGATGCGAGTGGGGGTCTCGTTGAGCCCCCTCTCTGTCTCTGTGTCGGTGCTTGACACCGCCGTCCGTGTCTCTGCAGCTCCACGTTCACAAGGCGGCACAAGTGGCACGACTGTCGCTCCTGAAGGGGAGACCTCCGCCACACCAGTGGTCGAATGGTGGTGTAGGGTGCTGCAGACGATGTTGGCGATGGGTGTGACCCTGGGACTTGGGGCTGTCATCGTCACCTGCATTCCGCTTCCTCAGCAGTTTGGGAGCTCCCTCCACTCACGCAGGTGCCCCCGTCCCCCTGCCCTCTAGCCCAGGCTCCAGGATCACCCAGCCCCTCAGGAATGACCGTAAATACAGGAAGCTGGGCTCGGTTCTCAGAGGTGGCGACTCTGAGTCAGACGCTGAGTCGGCACCACTGAGCCTCTAGGATCATTCCCCGGGAACTGTGCTGTGTGCAGGCACCGTGCGGTTTGTAAACTCGTGTTTTTGTTCCTCAGTGGTGATGGGCAAGCAGACGTGCACGGTGATGTGGAGGTGAATGGGCATCTACTGATGATGGTGATTGGACACAAGGGGAAAACGGAGACAAAGGCATGAACGCCGTGTGAAGAAATCTTCTGTAGGTCCCCCCCCCGTGACCACCCTGGCCGGCACGTGGAGCCGCTCTTACCCACAGTGCCATTCAGGAGTGCAGTGCCGACTGCCTGTGGTTCATGAGCTGATTGTTGACAGACCTTGCTTTTCTCATCTCTCTCCCTCTCTGTGACTCTCAACACTCCTCTTTGGCCATTTCAAATCCCTCACCGCGAAATTTCACACGATTCAGAATCTTACTGCTGCCTCACCTCACGGCTTCTGTAAATGAAACCTCATCATCCCAATCCTCAGATTCCCCCACTGGCTCCCAATCCAGTCTCCAATCGACTGAGACATCGCACTCTGCACCTACACGCTACCTCTCCTCTCTCTTCAGGGGATCCCCCAAATATGTCGGTTAGGGACCGAAAAGTTGCGACTCGTAACGAAACGACGTATAGTGGGGACTTCCTCCTACCATAGGAATACTATGTTAATGGAGGTGGGATAGGGACAATGGAATAAGGTCGGGATAGGGACCGTCCCTTAGGGAAATGTGGTGTGTTTAAAACCTAGCAACCAAAATACGTACTTTACACGTACATAAAACTAGGAACCTTACAAGACAAACTGTACACAACCAATTCTGAGTTCAAGAACCGTGAAACAGTATTTTAACTTGTTAAACACTTTCTTGAAAACCAGCTTTATAAGCATTTCGATGCAACCCTCTGCACTTTAAACGTTTTCCTTTTCTTAATAGAAAAATAATTCGTGGCATTTTAAAGAAAAGATTCGAGTAGAAAACCATTTTAATGGGAAAAAAGCACTATCTTAAACAGCATTATAAAAAAGATGTTACCTTAACCTGTTTATGATCTTACCTTGAGGAGTGGATGAGTAGCTACGCACGCCAGAGAACACCATGGCACTTAAGGTGGCGGCGTATGCGCGAGTTGTACAGTACTTCTATACCCCCCCACCCCGAACCAAATTGAAATCGATTATTCAAAATCGATAATCGTCACCAGTGTTGGTCGTGAGCGGGACTTGAAGTCGAGTCGCTGGCCTCGTAGCGGAGCGCTAACCACTGCATGCTAACCGCTGCACACCCACGCACAATGTTTCCCACTTGGCTCGGCTGAACTGGTTAAACGACGTGTTTACGAGTGCGTGGAAATATTGCAGTGCCTTCCTCAAAGTCAGCGACGTGAGTGCAAAACAAGGCAGGGTGTGTGTATATCGAGACTATGAACATCAGGGACTCCCTGCACTCCCCACCACGTGTTCTCCACTCTAGCAAACAAGGACTTCTGTCAAAACCCTCAGTCAACCCCTCAATGTCTGCTCGCTTATTCTCACCCAACAATTCAACGAGGCTCCATGAGTTGCAAGACACTTTGTACACGTGGAAGGTAACTGGAGTAAGTTCACCCAGATTGGAGTCCGTCCCACTTGCCCCACTGCATATTCCTGGCCACTTCATAATCCAGTGGGTTCAGGGGAGTGTCACTAATCTGTGATTCGTGAATCCTCAACTCCATAGCGCCCCGCCGCTCTCACCGCAGATTCCCCCTGCTCACGTCCAGACTCCAGAAGTTCCCTCCTGTTTGTCTGTGTCTCTGCCCTGTGTCTCTCCTCACCTGGGCTACACCACAGCTGTATTCCTTCTTTCCTGAGCTCCATGCAGATTTTCTACAGCCCCTTCCTGCTCTACTGAATGTGTCAGCATTGTGTCTGTGTGTAAACCTGAGTGAACGTGTGAGTTGTGTGTGTGTGTACAAGTGTGAGCGAGAGGAAGGGGGTGGCAGTGGAGTGGTTGTGGTGCAGTCTAACTTGTGTGTGGTTTGAATGGACCAAAATCAGTGCATGCGTCGTAAACGCAATGCACGAGTCTGACTCAAAGGGTTCCTGTACTCGGAATGTTTGACACATTTTGTCACGAATTATTGTACATGCCTTAAACTTCCCAAGAAGTAATATATATGTACATTGTATTATTACTACTGGTAAACGATCTCGCTGACCCATGCTGTGTTTATGACAGTTGGGAAATATGGGTTGAGAAGAGTGGTTCCTAACCTCTGGATCGCAGCGCATGGCAATCCAAAAGGCCATGGGAATTGCTCTGCAGAACGATTGAAGACACCACAATGTAACTCACAAAGTCATCCTTTTGTTACCTCGAGTTCTTCCCACGTGTAGAGGGTTGGCAGTGAACGTGGGTCTAGAAAGGGTGGGAACCACTGGTCTTGAAGATCCATATTTTCAGTGACTGTAAGCCATTGGTTTCAGCACCTCATGTATTAGATATTCAATATTGGGAAATATTTGTCTTTAAGGTCCATATTTTGTATTTATGGTTGTAAATATTGTTTTATGAAATCTGTATATTGCAAACATTGGCTTATTTTTAAAGCATTGGTGTGGGAAAATCAATGATTTATATATTTATTATGAGAAAAAATTGGTGTAAAAGACTTGTACCTTTATTTCGGGATATAGTGATCGTTTTAGATTCATTAGGCAATCAAAATATATATATATTTTTACAAAGAACACCGAGACTTGTCTGTCAATCACCTCCTCTTGGTCCACACCGCCCTGAAGCCAACGAGGGCTCCCAGCCGGTCGCTACTCCCTGGCCGGGGAGAAAAGTTCCAAGCGAGAGCGGTGGAGGGACCAGGCCCACCAGGGGCTCAACTAGGCCTCGGCAAGGTAAGGTAATTTACCCTTTTTACCGGGTAAAAGGGTAAAGGTAGAGGTGTCGACATGCCAAGGGGTAAGGTAAAGGGTAGGGTAAAGGTAGCTCAAGAATTACCCGGTAGGGTAAAGGTAGCGCGAAGTATTACCCGGTAAATACGGTGCCTTGTTTACCGCTAGAAGCTCCGTGGTGCAGTCCATGGCCTCCATTAAATAAGTAATATAAAAAAAAACTTGATTATAAACACGCTTTTATGAAATGTACGAGTAATGGCCGAACTCCACGACTCCAGGAAGTGCTTCCAGAAGCTGCCATAACATAAGGGGACCGTGATGATTTACAGCCAACGTCAGTTTACCGTGGACAATTAGACCCAAGCCGAAACATAACATAAAAAAGAATGTTTAAAAATACGTTTTTTTATGATAGAATATGCTATTTTTATCAGTATGACATACGTATACCAAGTTTGCAGTCGATACCACATTGGCAAGTGGGTTAAAATTGAGTTACAAGATTTGAGGATACGACAACAACAACAAGCGTGTAAAATTGGAATCATCGAGAGTATTCTATATGTATAAAGCGCTCTACCAGCATTTACCGTTATAAACCTTGTTCATGTGTAGTAGTACCCCAGTAATTACCCTGTCATCGGGTAATTTGTATGGGAGTAGGGCTAAAGGTAGGCTCGTTGCTTTTTACCTTGCCGAGACCTAGGCTCAACCCTGCAGGGTCCGGGCCCACCAGGGGCTCAGCCCCCTGCTATAACGAGGGGAGGGGGGGGCTATGCAAGATCCCATTGTGGGGACCCCTCCTCTTGGTGCGTGTCGGTACCCGAGGGGGCATAGAAGCGCAGTACAACAATGGGATGTTGTGCCTCGAAGCCTTCTGCTGCTCACCACGGCGCCCTACAGCAGCCATCGTGGTGGTGGTTGGTGGGTGGATGTTCTACGTTGCTATGGCGAGGTGGAATCCATCTCGTGGGACGTCCATCCCGTGGATATCAACGACAAAATTGTACTGATTTTATCGACCCCCAGCCGCTAAGATAAATGATTGGCGAAGTGGAGCCCGGAGCAGGAGTTGAACTTGAGCCTTGCGAGTGGGGCGCCTGGCTCACGCGAGACGATGGACAGCGACTGGAGAATCCCAGCGCATGGAGGCGACCACTCCTGTGTGGGCGCATCGCTCCTCCTGCTGCTGCTGCGGCTGCTGCTGCTGCTCCTGCTGCTGCTCCTCCTGCTGCTGCTCCTCCTGCTGCTGCTGCTGCTCCTGCTGCTGCTGCTCTGGCTTCTGCTGCTCCTGCTGCTTCTGCTGCTCCTCCCGCTGCTGCTGCTCCTCCCGCTACTGCTCCTCCTGCTGCTGCTGCTGCTCCTCATGCTGCTGCTGCTCCTCCTGCTGCTCCTCCTGCTGCTGCTCCTGCTGCTCCTGCTGCTGCTCATGCTGCTCCTCCTGCTGTTCCTCCTGCTCCTCATGCTCCTGCTACTCCTCCTGCTGCTGCTCCCCCACCACCTCTGCCCGCCCAGCAAAATCTGCAGTGTTCGTGGTGGTGCTGGGGTGGAGGGGTAGAGTGTGGGCACCCCCACCACTCACAACCACGCCTCTGTGTGCGTGGGGGTGAAGTATGACCATACTTCACCACGCCGGTCACTGCGGCTTGCTGAAGGGTCCCAGAGGACGGGGCGCTTATACACAAAACGGTGCCAGCTGCAATGACGATGATTATCACCAAACACAACCACGCTGTGGACGACGAAACACCAGACGGAGTCACGGGACAGCGCTAGAGTTGACACGCGGCCGGTTGAGCCGCCTCTCGCCAGTGGGTGGGTGCCGTGGGGGCCGTGGGAGCCGTATGTCCCCAGCTCACTCACTCAGTGATCGCAGCGCGTGTTGCTGTTACCCGCAGGACTCGCAGCTCAGCAGGTCGCAAGTCGCTCCGCGCTATCGCCAAAGCAAATCTGCTCAGCGGAGCGAGAAGAGCAAAACAACCACCCTTGAGCACTCACACAAAGATACCCCGTGTAGCCTTCACAGATCGCTGGGGCAAGTGCTGGCAGCGAGCACACACGGAGGCGGAAGCGGCACACGAGGGGGTGGGTGGCAGGGACCACGCCCGGACAGTTCCTATGATCACTGTTTCATGGCTTTCATGGCTTTATTTTGGTGATTTCGAAAAGTGTTTTGGTTTAGTCATGTTTGTTTGTTGTAGTACAGAGTTAGACTGATGGCCTTAATCTAAGTTGTCTTGTGGTTGTTGTTGGTTGTTTGACTTGCATCCCACTGGTATTTTTTGCACACAGCGTTGGTGTACGGTGTTATTTTCTGCAATATTTCGCTGTCTTTTCTTGGATTTTCTGTTTGCACTCAGTCACATATTCACTTTAAGATGTTTTTTTGTTCATGTTTTTGTTTGTTGCGGTTGCACCCGATTCAAGAGCCGAATGGCTCACAGGGCTACACCTAATAAATGAACTTGAACTTGAACGCCTTCGTCTCCCTACTGGCGATGTTTACTGCGCATCGCACCGGGTTCTCATTTGAGGCTGAGTCGACCCAGGGGAGGCCCAGGATCGGTTCAGATAATCGTCACTGATGTTGGCCGTGAAAGGGAATCGAACTCGGTCGCCAGGTTCATAGCGCAGTGGGCTAACCACTACACTACCGCTCCCCACTACTACACACACTAACAATGTCATCCATATTCTTAGGTTTTTTCGGTAAAGTCACGTAGGTAAAAAAATTTCAATGAAAAAAAGTAAAATTAAAAAAATACAAATCACGACGTTTCGGAGGCAACACAAGCTTCCGTCTTCAGGTAGAACCGTCACAGCACAATAGCTGATACAGCCGTGGGGTTAGTGGGGGTTGTGTGGTTGTGGGGGGGCGTGGGGGTAGTGGGGGTTGTGTGGTTATGGGGGGCCGTGGGGGTAGTGGGGGTTGTGTGGTTGTGGGGGTAGTGGGGGTTGTGTGGTTGTGGGGGGGCGTGGGGGTAGTGGGGGTTGTGTGGTTATGGGGGGCCGTGGGGGTTGTGTGGTTATGGGGGGGCGTGGGGGTAGTGGGGGTTGTGTGGTTGTGGGGGGGCGTGGGGGTAGTGGGGGTTGTGTGGTTATGGGGGGGCGTGGGGGTAGTGGGGGTTGTGTGGTTGTGGGGGGGCGTGGGAGTAGTGGGGGTTGTGTGGTTGTTGCGGGCCGTGAGGGTAGTGGGGGTTATACAGGTTGCTAACAGGTCGGGGCGGATTCCGCACCATAAAATGCCTTAACTCACACGAGAGTGGTGAAACAAACTTATCTTACACGCATCGCTCACAGCGGATGTAAATATTGTTTTATGAAATCTGTATATTGCAAACATTGGCTTATATGTAAAAGCATTGGTGTGGGAAAAACAATTATTTATATATTTACTATGAGAAAAAATCGGTGTAAAAGACTTGTACCTTTATTTCGGGATATAGTGATCGTTTTAGATTCATTAGGCAATCAAAATATATATATATTTTTTTACAAAGAACACCGAGACTTGTCTGTCAATCACCTCCTCTTGGTCCACACCGCCCTGAAGCCAACGAGGGCTCCCAGCCGGTCGCTACTCCCTGGCCGGGGAGAAAAGTTCCAAGCGAGAGCGATGCAGGGACCAGGCCCACCAGGGGCTCAACTAGGCCTCGGCAAGGTAAGGTAATTGACCCTTTTTACCGGGTAAAAGGGTAAAGGTAGAGGTGTCGACATGCCAAGGGGTAAGGTAAAGGGTAGGGTAAAGGTAGCGCGAAGTATTACCCGGTAAATACGGTACCTTGTTTACCGCTAGAAGCTCCGTGGCGCAGTCCATGGCCTCCATTTAATAATATATTTTTTAAACTTTTTTTTAAATACGTTTTTATGAAATGCACGAGTAATGGCAGAACTCCACGACTCCAGGAAGTGGCCCCCAGAAGCTGCCATAACGTAAGGGGACCGTGGTGATTTACAGCCAACGTCAGTTTACCGTGGACAATTAGACTCAAGCCGAAACATAACATAAAAAAGAATGTTTAAAAATACGTTTTTTATGATAGAATATGCTATTTTTATCAGTATGACATACGTATACCAAGTTTGCAGTCGATACCACATTGGCAATTGGGTTAAAATTGAGTTACAAGATTTGAGGATACGACAACGACAACAATAAGCGTGTAAAATTGGAATCATCGAGAGTATTCTATATGTATAAAGCGCTCTACCAGCATTTACCGTTATAAACCTTTTTCATGTGTAGTACCCCAGTAAATACCCTGTAATGGGGTAATTTGTATGGGGGTAGGGTAAAGGCAGGCTCGTTGCTTTTTACCATTTACCTTACTTTGCTGAGACCTAGGCTCAACCCCGCAGGGTCCGGGCCCAGCAGGGGCTCAGCCCCCTTCTATAACGAGGGGAGAGGATGGGCTATGCAAGATCCCATTGTGGGGACCCCTCCCCTTGGTGCGTGTCGGTAGCCGAGGGGGCATAGAAGCGCAGTACAACAATGGGATGTTGTGCCGCGAAGCCTTCTGCTGCTCACCACGGCGCCCTACAGCAGCCATCGTGGTGGTGGTTGGTGGGTGGATGTTCTACGTTGCTATGGCGAGGTGGAATCCATCTCGTGGGACGTCCATCCCGTGGATATCAACGACAAAATTGTACTGATTTTATCGACCCCCAGCCGCTAAGATAAATGATTGGCGAAGTGGAGCCCGGAGCAGGAGTTGAACTTGAGCCTTGCGAGTGAGGGGGGCTGGCTCACGCGAGGCGATGGACAGCGACTGGAGAATCCCAGCGCGTGGAGGCGACCACTCCCGTGTGGGCGCATCGCTCCTCCTGCTGCTGCTGCTCCTGCTGCTGCTGCTCCTGCTGCTGCTGCTCCTGCTGCTGCTGCTCCTGCTGCTGCTGCTCCTGCTGCTGCTGCTCCTGCTGCTGCTGCTCCTGCTGCTGCTGCTCCTGCTGCTGCTGCTCCTCCTGCTGCTGCTGCTCCTCCTGCTGCTGCTGCTCCTCCTGCTGCTGCTGCTCCTCCTGCTGCTGCTGCTCCTCCTGCTGCTGCTGCTCCTCCTGCTGCTGCTGCTCCTCCTGCTGCTGCTGCTCCTCCTGCTGCTGCTGCTCCTCCTGCTGCTGCTGCTCCTCCTGCTGCTGCTCCTCCTCCTGCTGCTGCTCCTCCTGCTGCTGCTGCTGCTCCTGCTGCTGCTGCTCTGGCTTCTGCTGCTCCTGCTGCTTCTGCTGCTGCTGCTCCTCCTGCTGTTGCTGCTCCCGCTGCTCCTGCTCCCCCACCGCCTCTGCCCGCCCAGCAAAATCTGCAGTGTTCGTGGTGGTGCTGGGGTGGAGGGGTAGAGTGTGGTCACCCCCACCACTCACAACCACGCCTCTGTGTGCGTGGGGGTGAAGTTTGACCATACTTCACCACGCCGGTCACTGCGGCTTGCTGAAGGGTCCCAGAGGACGGGAGCGCTTATACACAAAACGGTGCCAGCTGCAATGACGATGATTATCACCAAACACAACCACGCTGTGGATGACGAAACACCAGACGGAGTCACGGGACAGCGCTAGAGTTGACACGCGGCCGGGTTGAGCCGCCTCTCGCCAGTGGGTGGGTGCCGTGGGGGTCGTGGGTGCCGTGGGTGCCGTGGGGGTCGTGGGTGTCGTGGGTGCCGTGGGTGCCGTGGGGACCCTGGGGGTCGTAGGTGCCGTGGGTGCCGTGGGGGTCGTGGGAGCCGTGTGTCCCGTGTGTCCCCAGCTCACTCGCTCAGTGATCGCAGTGCGTGTTGCTGTTACCCGCCCGACTCGCAGCTCAGCGGGTCGCAAGTCGCTCCGCGCTATCGCCAAAGCAAATCTGCTCAGCAGAGCGAGAAGAGCAAAACAACCACCATTGAGCACTCACACAAAGATACCCCGTGTAGCCTTCACAGATCGCTGGGGCAAGTGCTGGCAGCGAGCACACACGGAGGCGGAAGCGGCACACGAGGGGTGGGTGGCAGGGACCACGCCCGGACAGTTCCTATGATCACTTTTTCATTGCTTTCATGGCTTTATTTTGGTGATTTCGAAAAGTGTTTTGGTTTAGTCATGTTTGTTGTAGTACAGAGTTAGACTGATGGCCTTAATCTAAGTTGTCTTGTGGTTGTTGTTGGTTGTTTGACTTGCATCCCACTGGTATTTTTGCACACAGCGTTGGTGTACGGTGTTTTTTTCTGCAATATTTCGCTGTCTTTTCTTGGATTTTCTGTTTGCACTCAGTCACATAGTCACTTTAAGATGTTTTTTGTTCATGTTTTTGTTTGTTGCGGTTGCACCCGATTCAAGAGCCGAATGGCTCACAGGGCTTTACCTAATAAATTAACTTGAACTTCTTTGTCTCCCTACTGGCGATGTTTACTGCGCATCGCACCGGGTTCTCATTTGAGGCTGAGTCGACCCAGGGGAGGCCCAGGATCGGTTCAGATAATCGTTACTTATTTTGGCCGTGAAAGGGAATCGAACTCGGGTCGCCAGGTTCATAGCGCAGTGGGCTAACCACTACACTACCGCTCCCCACTACTACACACACTAACAATGTCATCCATATTCTTAGGTTTTTTCGGTAAAGTCACGTAGGTAAAAACATTTTTATTAAAAAAAGTAAAATAAAAAAATACAAATCACGACGTTTCGGAGGCAACACAAGCTTCCGTCTTCAGGTAGAACCGTCACAGCACGATAGCTGATACAGCCGTGGGGGTAGTGGGGGTTGTGTGGTTGTGGGGGGGCCGTGGGGTTAGTGGGGGTTGTGTGGTTGTGGGGGGGCCGTGGGGTTAGTGGGGGTTGTGTGGTTGTGGGGGGCCGTGGGGTTAGTGGGGGTTGTGTGGTTGTGGGGGGGCCGTGGGGTTAGTGGGGGTTGTGTGGTTGTGGGGGGGCCGTGGGGTTAGTGGGGGTTGTGTGGTTGTGGGGGGGCCGTGGGGGTAGTGGGGGTTGTGTGGTTGTGGGGGGGCCGTGGGGTTAGTGGGGGTTGTGTGGTTGTGGGGGGCCGTGGGGGTAGTGGGGGTTGTGGGGGGCCGTGGGGGTAGTGGGAGTTGTGTGGTTGTGGGGGGCCGTGAGGGTAGTGGGGGTTATACAGGTTGCTAACAGGTCGGCGCGGATTCCGTAAGCGAGCAGCGCCTTTGAAGGCCGGGACTCACACGGGGGTAGCGACACTAACTTATCTGATTGCAGTACACGCATCGCTCACAACGGAAAAAGATCGAGACGCGAGATTGCGTGCGGGCATCGCTGATTGGCTGCGGACCGTGCGGTGGGCGGCCCTCGCCTCGTTGCGGCCAATGGGGTCGCCGGATGACAACAGTGACGTCATCGTGTCACCTCTAGAAAGACGCGTGACAAGAGAGACAGACGGGACAGGAAGAGAGACACGGGACAAGAAGAGAGTCACGGGGCAGGCTGTGGTGAGTACTCATCAAAATCACAACCTTTATTGATCCTGCACACAAAGTGTGAATAGATCCGTCTTGAAGGTGTTCATGGCATCGTGGTGATATTTGCTGTGTTCTATTCTTCATATCTGTTCGAAAACATGTACAACACGTTTGAATAACGTATTTAATGCATCCTCAATAATCGACAATACATTGAACTAAACAGAATATGACAGAAATGTAAACAGCTATTTTTATTTTTTATACAGGGTGTTTTAAAAAGATGGACCCAATTTCAATGTATACTGCTGTGAAATTGGGTCCATATTTTTACAACACCCTGCACTTTGATACTGGCAAAAACGTCCCATGGTGAATTCAATAATTTTCCAAAGTAAAAAATCTCACGTTTGTTGCACTTATTATGGTTGTTAATCGAGGACACATGAAATCAACAGGTGTTTAACATCTTCAGTTATGAAACCTAAACAAGTACAGTGAGGGAAAAAAGTATTTGATCCCCTGCTGATTTTGTACGTTTGCCCACTGACAAAAAAATGATCAGTCTATAATTTTAATGGTAGGTTTATTTGAACAGTGAGAGACAGAATAACAACAAAAACATCCAGAAAAACGCATATAAAAAATTTTATAAATTTATTTGCATTTTAATGAGGGAAATAAGTATTTGACCCCCTCTCAATCAGAAAGATTTCTGAGGGAAATAAGTATTTGACCCCCTCTCAATCAGAAAGATTTCTGGCTCCTAAATAATAGACTGATGATTTCTTTGTCAGTGGGCAAACGTACAAAATCAGCAGGGGGTCAAATACTTTTTTCCCTCACTGTAGCACAAACAAGCAGAACATACGCCTTCATCTGCGACAAAGAGCTTCATAGCTCATCAGATTCTTCCCGTCTAAATAAGGATTCTGATTCTCACCATGTCCTTCACATGAACAGTAACACTCTCTGCGTCACGTGATGTGTGGGCTCTGTGCCTCCTATGAGCCGTGAATGTTGAAACCGCTCCAGAATTCCTTCCATTGAGCCGCTGCCCCTGAGATGATTCACTCCTAGAAGGTCGTGTGGCTGATGGGATGAGTCAACATATTTGTGTACTTTCACGTGGAGGGACAGATATACGAAGGCGCTTGTTACGTGTTACTTGTATTCTCTGAAACAAACTAAACTATTTTTATTTGACCAAGTAAGGCCCCACTGAGCGATGTAGCTCTTGTTCAGAAGCTCAACGAAGTCGCTTGTCGCGTGGAAATGCATAGCAGACAAATCCAACACTATACTAATAGGGGTTTTCCCCTTTTTTCTGGCAACAAAACTGACACCTTTTGCAACGAATCATGTTTACATTAACCACAATACTTGCAGTCAAATGCAAACAAAAAACAATACTCTGATCATTTATGCATTGTCTTTGAAACTGATTGGTCCACACCAGAGACAGCTTTTCTTAGAGCCTGGTCTCATATGGTGTTTGACCAGATGACGCCAAAAGGCGCACAATTCAAAGACAATGCATTATCAGAGTAATGAGAGCTTGGGGTAAGCATCTACCTCACATCTGATGTAGATGCTTACCCCGAGCTCTCATTACCTCGCAATGCTCTCTATTTGTAAATTCTCTCCCATCACCGTCTCTTACAAGAAGCGTGTTCCCTTTATCGATTACACCTTCAACAGTGCAGTTTGTTGCTGGCGGCTTGGCATATCAGGCCTAGTTGTTTGACTTGCATCCCACTGGGATTTTTGCACACAGTGTTGGTGTACGGTGCTATTTCTGCAATATTTGGCTGTCTTTTCTTGGATTTTCTGTTTGCACATAGTCACTTTAAGATGTTTTCTTGTTCATGTTTTTGTTTTTTTGTTTGTTGCGGTTGCACCCGATTCAAGAGCCGAATGGCTCACAGGGCTATACCTAATAAATGAAACTTGAAACTTGCCTCTCTGCCTGTGCTCCGCATCCGTAGTAAAGACACATTTATGTATTTCACTGATGTCTGTGCTCTATTGCTGCTCTACCAAACCGTCTGTTCCCTCATTGGAATGCATTCCGGCTCACCCTGCCCCACTTTAACCGCTGGTGGTGAGTGGAGCGAGAGATGTGATGAACCATTCTCTTCTGTGTTCATCAGGAGACGGAGGCACCATGAAGTGGCTCCTGGTCACAGCGTTCATCTCCCTCCTGCGTGAGTTCACACCGAGAAGCACTCACCCAGCACACGTGGAGCGGTCTCCTTCAGACCCCTTTCCCACCGGCACAGCCGAGCCGTGCCAGCCCAGAGTCCTGACGGTCCTGGTGGTTTTCCACTGCAGTTTGCTGCACTGAGCCAGAACCAAACCACCCTGGCCTCATAAGACATCGGAATTTCGCCTAGGGCCAAGCAGGGCCTGGTGCAACATTTATAATTTTTCAACAAACATGCATCTCGACTTGTTCACGGCACGGCTCAGCCCCTGCAGTGCCTCCCGTGGTCGCGCTGCGCTGAGACGTGTCCCGCACGCTACCCGTGTGACCACGTGAGCACTGACGGTGAGGGAGGCAGTCGTGACATTTGGTCCATGACCTATCCAACGCGCTCACTCACCAGCTGAGCGATCTTTCTATGAAATAGCTGCTCTTCAGTGAGCTCCTTGTTTTGTTATTCACTGATACTGGGTCATTGTAAAGGTGAATGTTACAGCACCGCTGTGTGTAACGCCTGCATCTAGACTCCCTCTGGCTCTGCTTTTGCTGAGTAAACCTGTGATGAGCACTTTAACAACAGTAACCGGTCTCTATCTAGACATCTGTATTGTTTATAGTGATAGAGTTTAGCTGATCTCTCTCTGTCGAGACATTTATCATGAGTGACCGATCTCTCTCTCTCTTTGTGTAGCTGTAACATCTGCTGTGAAGCTGCAGCTCTTCCTGCCGGAGAGTGTGGATGTGACGGAGGGAGAGAACGTGACTTTTCCCTGCTCATTCTCCTCACCACCGACCATCTCGAGTGGCCTCTACATCACGTGGCTCACGATGCCCACAGGCTACATAGTAAGCATGCACAGATGATATAATCAATGTGAGAACCTCCTTCCACGTCAACTCGGTAACTGAGAGTAATACAACGTTATTTGGGGTTTGTTTTGTTCCAGATAATGAAATAGTCGCATAATCAGACAGGAATATCGCACCGAGTCTCAAGACTCTATTTATAAGCAGTATCCTGCCATTTGAGTTCGTGAGGGTTTGGAATCATGTTGAGAAGAAAACGGAGAACCAGGATTAAAACCCCACCACGCAAAGGGATAATGGGCAAAGCTCTACACAGACTCAAACCATAGATAGAACCAATCTTTAACACTATCTGCAAACCAAAACTCATGGCTGTATCACAATATCCTGGCCATCTTGCAGCCCAAGCCTACAACCCCTGGCATCCCGAGTCAAGGTATGAAGCAAGCTCAACCCTGCTTGGCTATCAAGATCCAATTAGTTCAGGTTCATTGTGATTTGATCATAGTAGAATTGTGGTTAATGTTCCAATTTGTGTTTTGTACCATTCCAGATCTATGACTCGCAACTCGGGAATCCCTGGCTTGGAATAGCTGAGTTTACGGGAGACAAGGAAAAGGGCGACTGCTCCCTCATGCTCCTCAACGTCTCCAGGACCCTCAGCCCCGTGTTTAAGTGCGATGTCATTTGTACAAGCTGTGGGACGATCAACTGGAAGGTGGAACGAGAAGTGAAGCTGAACGTGACGGCTGCAGGTGAATGAGAGGGGAGCATCGTGCTCACCACACGGTGGCGCTGTGACTCGCACCGTCGCTCGTGCAGACGGTGGTGGGTGGGAGGTCAAGGGTCACAGATCACAGGGTGGAGGGTGCAGAGCTGGAGAGCGGTCGTTGTACAGAGAGGAATCTCGGCAGAGACTCTCCCTGCTGCACATGAAGCCGTGTTGAGTGAGTGGTTTCTCCCTGCTGCATGGAAAGCCTTGTTGAGTGAGTGGTCTTTCCCTGCTACACGTGACGCCGTGTTGAGTGAGTGGTCTCTCCCAGAGGTCGCAAACGGGTTTTGATTCCTTACCCGTACCCGTACCCGGCCGCACCAGGGTCGCAAACGGGTACCCGTACCCTACCCGATACCTGGCTACCCGTACCCCGCCGGGTATCGGGGAGGGTACGGGTATCGGGTACCCGATTGCGACCTCTGGGATGAAGCCATGTTGCAGGCGCGGGTGGGTTGATTCTAGGAACTTGAATTGTGAGAAGAGACAAGATGTTGGGAACTGAGTGACAAACGGTGACTCACCAGTGACTCACGGCCTACCCGTACCCGGCCGCACCAGGGTCGCAAACGGCTACCCGTACCCGTACCCGGCCCCACCAGGGTCGCAAACGGCTACCCGTACCGGGCCGGGTACGGGTAGCCGGGTATCGGGTACCTGGTTGCGACCTCTGGTCTCTCCCTGCTGCATGTGAAGCCGTGTTGAGTGAGTGGTCTCTCCCTGCTGCACATGAAGCCGTGTTGAGTAAGTGGCCTCTCCCTGCTGCACGTGAAGCCGTGTTGAGTGAGTGGTCTCTCCCTGCTGCAAGTGAAGCCGTGTTGAGCGAGTGGTCTCTCCCTGCTGCACTTGAAGCCGTGTTGAGTGAGTGGTCTCTCCCTGCTGCACATGAAGCCGTGTTGAGTGAGTGGTCTCTCCCTGCTGCACGTGAAGCCGTGTTGAGTCGCTGAGTGAGGCGGTGGTGCTGGGTGCGAGTGGGGTCTCGTTGAGTCCCTCTCTGTCTCAGTCTTTGGTTCTTAACACCGCCGTCCGTGTCTCTGCAGCTCCACAGTCACGCGGGGAGACGGTGGAGACGGTGGCAGCGGTGGTGATGGTGGTCATAGTTGTGGTGGGCATGATCCTGGCATCTACGGCTGTCATCCTCTTCATCAAGAGACACCCTTGGTCGTCTTGGAGCTCCCCCCGCTCACTCAGGTGCCTCCACCCCACCCAGGCCAGTATCCCCCCAGCCCAGCTCCTCACCAATGAACGTGAACGCAAGAATCTGGGCTGGGTTCTCAGAGGCGCTGAGTCGGCACCACTGAGCACCTGGGGGGTCATTCCCCGTGAACTGTGTCCAGGTGTTGCTGAGTGCAGGCACCGTGCGGTTTGTAAACTCGTGTTCTTGTTCCTCAGTGGCGATGGGCAAGCAGACGTGCACGGTGATGTGGAGGAGAATGGGCATCCACTGATGATGGTGAATGGACACAAGGAGGACAACGGATACAAAGGCATGGACACTGTTTGAAGAAATCTTCTGTGGGCTCCCCTGTGACCACCCTGGCCAGCACGTAGAGCCACTCTTACCCACAGTACCATGCGGGAGTGCAGTGCTGACTGCCTGTGGTTCATGAGCTGATTGTTTCCAGATCGTGCTTTTGACATCTCTCTCCCTCACTGTGACTCTCCACACTCCTCTTTGGCCACTTCAAATCTCTCACCGCTAAATTCCACACGATCCAGAATTGTACTGCTGCCTCCCATCACAGCTTCTGTAAATTAAACTTCATCATCCCAATCCTCAGATCCCCCCACTGGCTCCGAATCCGGTCCCCAATCGACTGAGACATCGCACTCTGCACCGACACGACCCTCCATAGACTCTCCGCTACCTCTCATCCATCTGTTCAGGGCGTCCCCAATATATGTCGGGGTTCGGGACCGAAAAGTGGCGACTTATAACGAAACAATGTATAGCAGGGATTTTTCCTTTATAGGGATACTACGTGTTAATGGAGGGGAGATAGGGGCCGTAAGAGCATAAACTTTGCCTATGCGATGCAAAGCGATGCAGTTTCTCCCATACGAAACAATGAAATAAGGTAGGGAAAGAGACCGTACCTTAGGGAAATGTGTTGTGTTTCATACTTAGCAACCAAAATACGTACTTTACATGTCCAACTAGGAACTCTATGTGTACAAAACTTTACAACACGACGTACACACATTTATAACCAATTCTGAGTTAAAGAATCGCTAAACAGCATTAAAACTTATAAAACACTTGATTGAAAACCAACTTCATTAGCATTTCGAAGCAGCCCTCTACACTTTATTTTCTTAACAGAAAAACGAATGTGACATTTTAAAGCAAAGACTCGAGCAGAAAACAATTTTAGTGGAAAAAAAGCACTAAATCATGAACAGCATTAAAAAAGAAAGATGTTACCTTCACCTACATTTTTAATGATCTTCGCCTGAGTAGTGAATGAGTTGTGTTGAAGGGTTGCACCGATTACAACGAGCACTCGTAGCTACATACGCCACGATGGCACTGAAGGTGGCAGCACATGCGTGAGTTGTACAGTACGTCTACACTCACCCCCCACTCAGAAGTGAGTTCAGCTGAGCCAAGTTGAAATCAATTATTCAAAATCGATAATCGTCACCGGTGTTGGCCGCGAACGGGAATCGAAGTCGGGTCGCCGGGCTCGGAGCGAAGCGCTAACCGCCACGTGATAACCGCTGTGCACCGACGCACAATGTGTTTGACTTGGCTCAGCTGAACTGAGTTAAAACGACGTAATGACATGTTTATATACATGTGTTTGCGTGTGTGTGTACGCAGGGAAATGTTACGTTGCGTTCCTCAACAGACTCCAGAAGTTCCCTCCTTTCTCTCTGTCTCTCCCCTGTGTCTCTCCTCACCTGGGCTGCACCACCGCTGTTTTCCTTCTCTCCTGAGCTCCATGCAGATTCCCTACAGCCCCTTCCTGCTCTACTGAATGTGTCAGCATTGTGCGTCTGTATGTGAACCTGAGCCAATGTGCGAGTTGTGTGTACAAGTGTGAGCGAAAGGAAAGGGGTGGTAAGTCGTGCAGTCTGAATTGTGTGTGGTTTGAAGGGACCAGAATCAGTGCATGCATCGTAAACGCAATGCACAGGTCTGACTCAAAGGGTTCCTGCACTGGGAATGTTTGACACATTTTGTCACTAATTATTTTTGTACATGCCTTAAACTTGCCACAAATTAACATATATGTACATTGTATTTTTACAACTGGTAAACGATCTCACTCACCCATGCTGTGTTTATTTATTTATATGTATTATTATTCAGAATATGCGTCTTGTGCTGTTGTAATGTATGCAATGTCATGGTGATTGTTATGATTACTAGTGTTACTTCGAATTTGTTGTTTGCACAGGAAAACTATTTTAGCAAAGGCGTTTCTATTTCTCTTTTTGCAATATTTTATCGAATGTTATTCCTCGCTCTAGATGCACTATTTTGCGATGTTTCTTGAATCTTAATGTTCAGTTTTGTTTATTTTTACGCGACCTGTTGCAAACGTTATGTTTTTAATTTGACAGTGTTTCTGTTTTGTTGATGAAACCCGATTCAAGAGCTTCTTAGCTCACAGGGCAATTCTAGAAAAAACTGTTTAAAAAAAATAATAAACTGTAAACTATTTACGGTTAGGAAGTGGTTCCTGACCTCTAGATCGCAGTCCATGGCAATCCACAAGGCCACACATAGTCATCCTTTTGTTACTGCAAGTTCTTTCTCACGTGTAGAGGGTTGGCAGTGAACGTGGGTCTAGAAAGGGTGGGGACCACTGGTCTGGAAGATCCATAATTTCAGTGACAGATAGCCATTGTTTTAGACACCTCATGTATTAAATATTTAGTATTAGGAAATGTCTTTAAGGTCCATATTTTGTATTCATGGTTGTAAATATTGTTTTATGAAATCTGTATATTGCAAACATTGTCTATTTTTAAAGCATTGGTGTAGAAAATCAATGATTTAGAATATTTGCAATGAGAAAAAATGTAAGACTTGTACCTTTATTTCGGGATATGGTGATCATTTTCGACCCATAAGGCAATCAAAATATATTTTAAAAATTGCAAAAAACACTGAGTCTTGTTTGTCAATCATCTCATCTTGGTACACACCGTCCTCAGGCCCACGAGGGCTCCCAGCCGGTCGCTACTCCCTGGCCGGGGAGAAAAGTTACAGGTGAGAGCGGTGCAGGGTCCGGGCCCACCAGGGGCTCAGCCCCCTGCTACAACGTGGGTGGGGGGCTATGCAAGATCCCATTGTGGGGCCCCCTCGTCTTGGTGCGTGTCGGTAGCCGCGGGGGCATAGAAGCGCAGTACAACAATGGGATTGTGCCGTGCCGCCTTCTGCTGCTCGCCACGTTCAAGTTCATTTATTAGGTGTAGCCCTGTGAGCCATTCGGCTCTTGAATCGGGTGCAACAGCAACAAACAAAAAACATGAACAAAAAACATCCTCAAGTGAATATGTGACTAAGTGCAAACAGAAAATCCAAGAAAAGACAGCTAAATATTGTAGAACAATCACCGTACACCAACGCTGTGCAAAAATCCCAGTGGGATGCAAGTCAACAACAACAACCACAAGACAACTTAGATGAAGGCTATCAGTCTAACTCTGTACTACAATAAACAAACATGGCCAAACCAATACACTTTTCGAAGATCACCAAAATAAAGCCATAAACGCAATGAAACAGTGGTTCATAGGAACTGTGACCAAATTTACACAATAAACGACATAAACAACATGTGCTACCAAACTCTGCAGCCATAGCTGGCTGCATGAGTCACTCCCCGCAGCAGCCCGCAGGGCACCGTGGAGGTGGTAGTTGGTGGTAGTGGGTGGGGATGGTGGTTGGTGGTGGTTGGTTGGTTGTGGTGGTGGTTGCTGGTGGTGGTCGCCCATCCGGACACCGTCCAGGCTCGAGCCCTGCTGAGCTCCCCAGCTTTGGCGCCGCGTTGCGGGGCAGTGGCCGAGTCAGAGGCCGCAACGCGCCCCGGGCCACGAGGTGGCGCGCTCGTGGACGTTCCACGTTGCTATGGCGAGGTAGAGTCCATCCCGTGGGACGTCCATCCAGTGGATGTCAACGACAAAGTTGTGCTCATTTTATCACTCGAGGTGATTGTCAACGACTGGCAAATCCCAGCGCGTGCGGGCGACCCCTCTCGTGTCAACGCATCGCTGCGTCTCCCTCCGAGTCTCCCCGTGTCTCTCCCCGTCTGTGTCTTTCCTTCCCTGCGTCTCTCTATCTCTCTGGTCGCTGTGTCTCTCGCTGTGCCTGTATCTCTCTTCCCTGTATTTTAGACAGCTGCAACAAGCAAGGTGTTAATCGCCATTATTGATGACAATTAGAGACAGCTGCAAAAAGCAAGGAGTCAATCACCATTAGTGATGACAATAAGTTTCAAGTTTCATTTATTAGGTATAGCCCTGTGAACCATGCGGCTCTTGGGTCGGGTGCAAACGCAAGAAACAAAATATGAACAGAGAACATCTTAAAGCGATGACGCGCAACAGAAACATCTTGGATAAATCAGCAAATCTTTTAAAAAACGTATTTCAACGCTGTGTGCAAAAATCCCAGTGTGATGCAAGTCAAACAATAACAACCATAAGACAATTTAGATTAACCATGTTTTCGAAATCACCAAAATAAAGCTATTAAAACAATGTAACAACAGTAATCATAGGAACCGTGATTCAAATTTAACAATAAACAATATACATAACATGTACGACTAAACTTGCAGCCATAGCTGGCAGCATGATTCTCCCAGTGTATGTGTGAGCGAGTAAGCGTATGATGAGTCAGTGTAATATGTGTGAGTCGGTTTATGATGTGTGAGTCAGTGTGAGATGAGTATCACGGCATCCTCCACGCCACCACAACCTCCTCCACTCCATCACGACCTCCTCCACACCATCACAACCTCCTCCACTCCATCACGACCTCCTCAAAACCATCACGACCTCCTCCACTCCATCACGACCTCCTCCACTCCATCACGACCTCCTCCACACCATCACGACCTCCTCCACTCCATCACGACCTCCTCCACTCCATCACGACCTCCTCCACTCCATCACGACCTCCTCCACACCATCACGGCCTCCTCCACTCCATCACAGCCTCCTCCACGCCATCACGACCTCCTCCACTCCATCACAACTTCCTCCACGCCATCACGACCTCCTCCACTCCATCACAGCCTCCTCCACGCCATCACGGCCTCCTCCACTCCATCACAACTTCCTCCACGCCATCACGACCTCCTCCACTCCATCACAGCCTCCTCCACGCCATCACGACCTCCTCCACTCCATCACAGCCTCCTCCACGCCATCACAGCCTCCTCCACGCCATCACAACTTCCTCCACACCATCACAGCCTCCTCCACTCCATCACAGCCTCCTCCACGCCATCACAACCTCCTCCACACCATCACAGCCTCCTCCACGCCATCACAGCCTCCTCCACACCATCACAGCCTCCTCCACGCCATCACAACTTCCTCCACGCCATCACAACCTCCTCCACTCCATCACAGCCTCCTCCACGCCATCACAACCTCCTCCACACCATCACAGCCTCCTCCACGCCATCACAGCCTCCTCCACTCCATCACAGCCTCCTCCACGCCATCACAACTTCCTCCACACCATCACGACCTCCTCCACGCCATCACGACCTCCTCCACGCCATCACGACCTCCTCCACGCCATCACGACCTCCTCCACGCCATCACGACCTCCTCCACGCCATCACGACCTCCTCCACGCCATCACGACCTCCTCCACACCATCACGACCTCCTCCACGCCATCACGACCTCCTCCACGCCATCACGACCTCCTCCACTCCATCACGACCTCCTCCACGCCATCACGACCTCCTCCACGCCATCACGACCTCCTCCACTCCATCACGACCTCCTCCACTCCATCACGACCTCCTCCACGCCATCACGACCTCCTCCACGCCATCACGACCTCCTCCACGCCATCACGACCTCCTCCACTCCATCACGACCTCCTCCACGCCATCACGACCTCCTCCACTCCATCACAACCTCCTCCACTCCATCACAACCTCCTCCACTCCATCACGACCTCCTCCACACCATCACAACCTCCTCCACACCATCACGACCTCCTCCACACCATCACAACCTCCTCCACTCCATCACGACCTCCTCCACGCCATCACAACCTCCTCCACTCCATCACAACCTCCTCCACGCCATCACGACCTCCTCCACGCCATCACGACCTCCTCCACACCATCACGACCTCCTCCACACCATCACGACCTCCTCCACGCCATCACGACCTCCTCCACGCCATCACGACCTCCTCCACTCCATCACGGCCTCCTCCACTCCATCACGACCTCCTCCACTCCATCACGACCTCCTCCACTCCATCACAGCCTCCTCCACTCCATCACGACCTCCTCCACTCCATCACAGCCTCCTCCACGACATCACGACCTCCTCCACTCCATCACAACCTCCTCCACTCCATCACAGCCTCCTCCACTCCATCACAACCTCCTCCACTCCATCACGGCCTCCTCCACTCCATCACAACCTCCTCCACTCCATCACAGCCTCCTCCACTCCATCACAACCTCCTCCACTCCATCACAACCTCCTCCACTCCATCACGGCCTCCTCCACTTCATCACAACCTCCTCCACTCCATCACAGCCTCCTCCACACCATCACGGCCTCCTCCACTCCATCACAACCTCCTCCACTCCATCACGACCTCCTCCACTCCATCACAGCCTCCTCCACTCCATCACGACCTCCTCCACTCCATCACAGCCTCCTCCACTCCATCACGACCTCCTCCACTCCATCACAACCTCCTCCACTCCATCACGACCTCCTCCACTCCATCACAGCCTCCTCCACACCATCACGGCCTCCTCCACTCCATCACGACCTCCTCCACTCCATCACAGCCTCCTCCACTCCATCACGACCTCCTCCACTCCATCACAACCTCCTCCACTCCATCACGACCTCCTCCACTCCATCACGACCTCCTCCACTCCATCACGACCTCCTCCACTCCATCACAGCCTCCTCCACTCCATCACGACCTCCTCCACTCCATCACAACCTCCTCCACTCCATCACGACCTCCTCCACTCCATCACGACCTCCTCCACTCCATCACGACCTCCTCCACTCCATCACAGCCTCCTCCACTCCATCACGACCTCCTCCACTCCATCACAGCCTCCTCCACTCCATCACAGCCTCCTCCACTCCATCACGACCTCCTCCACTCCATCACGACCTCCTCCACTCCATCACGACCTCCTCCACTCCATCACGACCTCCTCCACTCCATCACGACCTCCTCCACTCCATCACAGCCTCCTCCACTCCATCACGACCTCCTCCACTCCATCACAACCTCCTCCACTCCATCACGACCTCCTCCACTCCATCACGACCTCCTCCACTCCATCACGACCTCCTCCACTCCATCACAGCCTCCTCCACTCCATCACGACCTCCTCCACTCCATCACAGCCTCCTCCACTCCATCACAGCCTCCTCCACTCCATCACGACCTCCTCCACTCCATCACAGCCTCCTCCACTCCATCACGACCTCCTCCACTCCATCACGACCTCCTCCACTCCATCACAACCTCCTCCACACCATCACGACCTCCTCCACTCCATCACGACCTCCTCCACTCCATCACGACCTCCTCCACACCATCACGACCTCCTCCACTCCATCACGACCTCCTCCACTCCATCACGACCTCCTCCACACCATCACGACCTCCTCCACACCATCACGACCTCCTCCACTCCATCACGACCTCCTCCACTCCATCACGACCTCCTCCACTCCATCACGACCTCCTCCACACCATCACGACCTCCTCCACTCCATCACGACCTCCTCCACTCCATCACGACCTCCTCCACTCCATCACGACCTCCTCCACTCCATCACGACCTCCTCCACTCCATCACGACCTCCTCCACACCATCACGATCTCCTCCACTCCATCACGACCTCCTCCACTCCATCACGACCTCCTCCACTCCATCACGACCTCCTCCCCTCCATCACGACCTCCTCCACACCATCACGACCTCCTCCACTCCATCACGGCCTCCTCCACTCCATCACGACCTCCTCCACTCCATCACGACCTCCTCCACTCCATCACGACCTCCTCCACACCATCACGGCCTCCTCCACACCATCACGACCTCCTCCACACCATCACGGCCTCCTCCACTCCATCACGACCTCCTCCACTCCATCACGACCTCCTCCACTCCATCACGACCTCCTCCACACCATCACGGCCTCCTCCACTCCATCACGGCCTCCTCCACTCCATCACGGCCTCCTCCACTCCATCACGACCTCCTCCACACCATCACGGCCTCCTCCACACCATCACGACCTCCTCCACTCCATCACGACCTCCTCCACACCATCACGACCTCCTCCACACCATCACGACCTCCTCCACACCATCACGGCCTCCTCCACACCATCACGACCTCCTCCACTCCATCACGACCTCCTCCACACCATCACGACCTCCTCCACACCATCACGACCTCCTCCACTCCATCACGACCTCCTCCACTCCATCACGACCTCCTCCACTCCATCACGACCTCCTCCACACCATCACGGCCTCCTCCACACCATCACGACCTCCTCCACACCATCACGGCCTCCTCCACTCCATCACGACCTCCTCCACTCCATCACGACCTCCTCCACTCCATCACGACCTCCTCCACACCATCACGGCCTCCTCCACTCCATCACGGCCTCCTCCACTCCATCACGACCTCCTCCACACCATCACGGCCTCCTCCACACCATCACGACCTCCTCCACTCCATCACGACCTCCTCCACACCATCACGACCTCCTCCACACCATCACGACCTCCTCCACACCATCACGGCCTCCTCCACACCATCACGACCTCCTCCACTCCATCACGACCTCCTCCACACCATCACGACCTCCTCCACACCATCACGACCTCCTCCACACCATCACGGCCTCCTCCACACCATCACAACCTCCTCCACACCATCACGACCTCCTTCCCGCCATCACGACCTCCTCCACTCCATCACGACCTCCTCCACACCATCACAACCTCCTCCCCGCCATCACGACCTCCTTCCCGCCATCACGACCTCCTCCACTCCATCACGACCTCCTCCACTCCATCACGACCTCCTCCACTCCATCACGGCCTCCTCCACTCCATCACGACCTCCTCCACTCCATCACGGCCTCCTCCACTCCATCACGACCTCCTCCACTCCATCACGGCCTCCTTCCCACCATAGCGGCCTCCTCCAGGATTTATAGTGAAAACTTTGTTTTTACGGGTTAATTTTTTATGTGTGTGTTCGGGAACGCGTATCCTCAGGTGTGGGGACAAAGGGGTCGTCCTGGCTATGGTATAAGCGCACCGTGTTGTACAGATACATGCTGTGGTGTGAAAGCAGGCAGGGCGAGCTGTCTAAAAATTAACCCGTAAAAACAAAGTTTTTCACTATAAATCCTTTATATGCGTGGCGGCGAGAGTCCTCTCGTCCTCTGGCTTGAGATGGCTGCCACCTATGGGTCAGATGATTGCCTGCCACAAATAAGCAATTGGTAATTAAATATATATATTTTTTCCTAAAAAGTGTAAAATTTTGGAAAAAAAATTTCACGAAAATAAATTGTCACGCACAACGAATCTGTGTGCAAAATGTCAGCTCGATTGGATCACGGGAAGTGGGTTAAAAAACGACCGAAAGATTTGCACGGTCGTAAGCGCGCAAGCAAGTGAACTTAATATAAAGGATTTAAAAATGTAAGAAGTTCCATCCCTGTTAAAACTCCTCGGATTTCAATATGTATTACTCTCTCATTAGGCTCCACCCAAATTAAACACCACCAGTGGCGGGGCCATTGGGGAGGGGGTAGGGTGGCACGTGCCCCCCCCCCCCCCCCCCCAATGATCCGATCGAATTCCCTAGTCGATCGGATCATTGGTAATAAATCGTCATTTTGCGACCCCCACTGCCACTGTGTAGCATATTATTACGTGTCTGAGTCCACAATTGGCAATAATAAGTAACGGCAAAGCAGTTATAAGCAACTCACTGAATTGTGCTCAGTTGCGTATAGAGGACACGACTTCCCTGAAGGCAAACACCTTCAGCGAGCGCGATGCCGATCACACAACGCGCGGTTCGAATTCGACTAACAGGTAATGTGCCATCGCCGCACATTCGTCGAATAAAAAGCAAGGGACAAGTCCCTTACTCACTAACAACTCCTCTATCATTTCTCATTGCTGGTGGGTTTGTGCCCCCCCCCCCCTACCTGCAAATCATGGCTCTGCCTCTGCACATGAGCGTGACTTGGCCGACGAAATATTATAGTGGCAGAAATGAAGAAATCCAAGTCGACAAAAAACGCCAGTGCAGCGGTTCGACCGGTCAACCCACCAGCGCCAACGAGTGGCGGTTCAACCCCGCGTGCCCCCCACCTGCATTACCCCCCGCCCCCACGCCTTCACGTACACTGTCAACCAGCCCAGTCAGAGTCGCCCAGTCGCGTTGTTGCTGCTACTATCGCCGAGTATTCGAGACGATCCCACGTCCCTGCTCCTCCTCCCCTGCCAGCAGCATCACCACAGCTGAGAGGAGGTGAGGTTGTCTCTCTCGCCCTGCTCACGGAGACTGCGTTCTTGGGTTCCGACCGCAATTCTCGGGGTTCCATTTGGTTAATCGACTCCTCGTGTCTTTACCTTTGTGAGTGTGTGACGTTGTCTCTGTGTGTCTATCACTCAGTCTACGTGTCTCTGTGTGTCTATCACTCAGTCTACGTGTCTCTGTGTGTCTATCACTCAGTCTACGTGTCTCTGTGTGTCTATCACTCAGTCTACGTGTCTCTGTGTGTCTATCACTCTGTCTACGTGTCTCTGTGTCTATCACTTTGTCTACGTGTCTCTGTGTGTCTATCACTCAGTCTACGTGTCTCTGTGTGTCTATTACTCAGTCTACGTGTCTCTGTGTGTCTACCACTCAGTCTACGTGTCTCTGTGTGTCTATCACTCAGTCTACGTGTCTCTGTGTCTATCACTCTGTCTACGTGTCTCTGTGTGTCTATCACTCAGTCTACGTGTCTCTGTATCTATCACTCTGTCTACGTGTATCTGTGTCTATCACTCAGTCTACGTGTCTCTGTGTCTATCACTCTGTCTACGTGTATCTGTGTCTATCACTCAGTCTACGTGTCTCTGTGTCTATCACTCTGTCTACGTGTCTCTGTGTCTATCACTCTGTCTACGTGTCTCTGTGTCTATCACTCAGTCTACGTGTCTCTGTGTGTCTATCACTCTGTCTACGTGTCTCTGTGTCTATCACTCAGTCTACGTGTCTCTGTGTGTCTATCACTCTGTCTACGTGTCTCTGTGTCTATCACTCTGTCTACGTGTCTCTCTGTCTATCACTCTGTCTACGTGTTGTCTCTGTGTGTCTATCACTCTGTCTACGTGTCTCTGTGTGTCTATCACTCAGTCTACGTGTCTCTGTCTCTATCACTCTGTCTACGTGTCTCTGTGTCTATCACTCTGTCTACGTGTCTCTGTGTGTCTATCATTCTGTCTACGTGTCTCTGTGTCTATCACTCTGTCTACGTGTCTCTGTGTCTATCACTCTGTCTACGTGTATCTGTGTCTATCACTCAGTCTGCGTGTATCTGTGTCTATCACTCGGTCTACGTGTCTCTGTGTCTATCACTCTGTCTACATGTTGTCTCTGTGTGTCTATAACTCAGTCTACGTGTCTCTGTGTCTATCACTCTGTCTACGTGTCTCTGTGTGTCTATCACTCTGTCTACGTGTCTCTGTGTCTATCACTCTGTCTACGTATTGTCTTTGTGTGTCTATCACTCTGTCTACGTGTCTCTGTGTCTATCACTCTGTCTACGTGTTGTCTTTGTGTGTCTATCACTCTGTCTACGTGTCTCTGTGTCTATCACTCTGTCTACGTATTGTCTTTGTGTGTCTATCACTCTGTCTACGTGTCTCTGTGTCTATCACTCTGTCTACGTGTTGTCTTTGTGTGTCTATCACTCTGTCTACGTGTCTCTGTGTCCATCACTCTGTCTACGTGTTGTCTTTGTGTGTCTATCACTCTGTCTACGTGTCTCTGTGTCTATCACTCTGTCTACGTGTTGTCTTTGTGTGTCTATCACTCTGTCTACGTGTCTCTGTGTCTATCACTCTGTCTACGTGTTGTCTTTGTGTGTCTATCACTCAGTCTACGTGTCTCTGTGTGTCTATCATTATGTCTACGTGTCTCTGTGTCTATCACACTGTCTACGTGTTGTCTCTGTGTGTCTCTCACTCCGTCTCATCACAACGTGACCGCTGCGTCGGGCGGATAAAACGAGCAGGGAGGTGGCGCAGTGGGGAACGAAGCAGCGTCTACACCACGCACTCGACTCCAGGGGTAACTCCAAAGAAACGGAAACACAAGAATACTTATTCATCAACTGCAGATGAAATATGCGTATCCCTCATTTACGAAAGTGCAGCGTGCTGGAGTGATATAATAGTGATGACGATAACGAAACCACCACGCCGTGGGGGTTGAGTGGCCACAGACTTCCTCTTTTCGCTCAGTGTGGGATGGGTGACTCGCTGAGCTCAACGTTGTTGTGAATCTTGATTTGAAGCTTTCGTGACTGGAATAATCCATACTCTTTGGTTCTTTTGGTAAAGTTACGTAGGTATAAAATAAAATAAATCACGACGTTTCTGGCGCAAAACACAAGCATCCGTCATCAGGTGCCAAAGCATGGTCTGCTGTTGAGGCAGACTGTTTTAAAAAGGTTTGAAATGGGTGTAGCCCAAGGGTCATAATGAAGTGACCAGGGCGAGTGATGTTAATGTGAAAAATTAGCATTTAACTGTAAGATAGGAGAGCGGCCTCATCGACGAGGGCACGGAAGTGGCTATGTTAATGTGGGAAATTAGCATGTAACTGTATGATAGGAGAGCGGCCTCCTCGACGAGGGCATGGAAGTGGTTATGCTAATGTGAGAGATTAGCATGTTAATGTAAAATCGAAGAGTGGTGCAATCCAAAGGGCATCTGAGCATGAGAGTTGCAATCCAAAGGCATGTGAGTGCAATGCAAAGGACATGTGAGCATGAGAGATCTAAGAGAGAGGCATAGAGAGAGAGACACACACAAAGAGTTGGAAATTACAACTGACATAGGCAGGTAGGATGAAAACATCACAGTCAGTTAAGACTTTAGCTGGTTAATAACATCCTTCCAATGATTGCTCAGTTTGTACCCATCCTCTCGGTTGAAGTTGTGTCTGTGTGTATATATCTGGATGGCTTCATGAACAAATCTCTGATAATAGCCGGTGGGTTTTCATAGTATCTCCGTCTTGAAAAAATCAATTTCGTGTGAGCCCACAGCGTTAAAACAATGATCGGCAATGGCAGAGGTGTTGGTCCTACCGTGTTTCAGATCTGCCTTGTGTTCGCGAACGCGGTCCGAGACATGTCGTTTCGTTTCCCCAATGTAACTGCTGCCACAACCACAACTCAGTTTGTAGACACCAGGGTATTGCATGTCAGTAACACGAACACAAGGCAGATCTGGATTGCACCACTCTTCGATTTCACATTAACATGCTAATCTCTCACATTAGCATAGCCACTTCCATGCCCTTGTCGAAGAGGCCGCTCTTCTATGTTAAATGCTAATTTCTCACATTAACATCATGAGCCCCGGCCACTTATTTATGACCCTTGGGCTACACCCATTTCAAACCTTTTACAAACAGTCTGCTTCAGCAGCAGGCCATGCTTTCCCACCTGATGACGGACGCTTGTGTTGCGCCCGAAATATCGTGATTCATTTTATTTTATACCTACGTGACTTTAACGAAAGAACCAAAGAGTATGTTGTCGTGAATTTTACTTTGACCGGGTCTATCTCTTGCCACATAACCCAGCGGCACAGTTCACAAGTAGCCTCACGCTTTCTCCAAGCAATTCTGCTCTGTCACACCGTCTGTTTCTACCCTCCAGTGGAATGCATTCCGGCTCACCCTGCCCCACTCTAACCGCTGGTGGTGAGTGAAGCGAGAGATGTAATGAGCCACTCTCTTCTGTGTTCATCAGGAGACGGAGGCACCATGAAGTGGCTCCTGGTCGCAGCGTTCATCTCCCTCCTGCGTGAGTTCACACCGAGAAGCACTCACCCAGCACACGTGGAGCGGTCTCCTTCAGACCCCTTTCCCACTGGCACAGCCGAGCCGTGTCAGCACAGGGCCCTGATGATCCTGGTGGTTTCCCGCTGAAGATTACAGTGCTGAGCCAGAACCAAACCGTCCTGGCCTTGCACGACATCCGAATCTCGCACAGGGCCAAGCAGGGCCAGATACAGAATTAATACTGATCATTAACATGCATCTCGACTTGTTCATTGCGTGTGACATCAACGGCACGGCTCAGCTTCTGCTCATGGAAAAACAACCTGGCCCGCTCCCGAGCCGCACCGGGCTGGCTCGGTACAGTCCCAGCATGGGTCAGGTGTGCAGTGGAAAAGAAGTGATGTTGAACCAGCTGAGAGTCAAATGTCAATCGTCGTTACGATGACGTCGTGGCGATGGGATCCCAGTGCCAGGGCCCCCGTGTAGCCGTAAGCGTCGGTGCCTCCCGTGGTCGCACTGCGCTGAGACGCGTCCCACACGCCGCCCGTGTGACCAAGTGAGCACTGACGGTGAGGGAGGCAGTCGCGCTCACTCACCAGGTGAGCGGTCTTCCTCTCAAGTAGCTGATGCTGAATGAAGCAAGTTTTAGGTCACTCTTCAGTGAGCTCCTCCTTTTGTTATTCACTGATGCTGCGTCAGTATAAGCGTGGATGTTAAAGCGCCGCTCTGTGTAATGCCTGCATCTAGACATATCTCAGTATCTCTGCTATTACTGAGTGGACCTGTGGTGAGCACTATGAGGACAGTGACCGGTCTCTCTCTGTATAGACATCCGTATTATTTGGTTCTGATTTCTGTCTGTCAAGACATATGTCATGAGAGTGACCGGTCTCTCTCTCCGTGTAGCTGTGACATCTGCTGTGAAGCTGCAGCTCTCCCTACCGGAGAGTGTGGATGTGACGGAGGGGGAGAGCGTGACTCTTCTCTGCTCATTCTCCCCGTCGTCGACCGTCTTGAGTGACCTCTACATCACGTGGGTCACGATGCCCACAGGTGACAAAGTAAGTAAGCTCAGATGATATAATCAACGTGAGAATCTCTTTCCATGTCAACCCTGAATTTTCAACTCATTAACTGATGTATATATCGACATGTATCAGAGAGTAATAAAGTAATTTGGGGGTAATGTTCCACAATAATAATAGTCGCTTAATCGCCCAGGAATGTCGCACCAGGTCTCAAGACCCTATTGATGAGAAGGGTCTTGCCATTTGAGTTCGTGAGGGTTGGAAATCATGTTGAGATGAAACCGGAGAACCCAGAGAAACCCCACCACACAAGGGGATAATGGGCAGAGCTCTACACGCAGACTCAATCCATGGATAGAACCACTCTTTAACGCTACTTGTAAACCAAATCTACATCTGTTTCACAAACTCCTGGATACCCCACAGCCCAAGCCTACAACCTCTCGCATTCCCAATCCTAGTATTAAGTAAGCTCAACCCTGCTTGGCTATCAAGATCAGATGAGTTCAGGTTCATTGTGATTTGATTATAGCAGGATTGTGGTTCGTGTTACAATTTGTGTTTTGTGCCATTCCAGATCTACGACTCGCATCTTGGGAGTCTCTGGCTTGAAATAGCTGAGTTTGCGGGAGACAAGGAGAAGGGTGACTGCTCTCTCAGGCTCCTCAACGTCTCCAAGAACTTTGGCCCCGTGCTTAAGTGCGATGTCATTTGTACCAGCTGTGGGATGGATGGCTTCCAGATGCAACGAGAGGTGAAGCTGAACGTGACGGCTGCAGGTGAATGAGAGGGGAGCGTCGTGCTCACCACACGGTGGCGCTGTGAATCGCACCGTCACTCGTGCAGACGGTGGTGGGTGGGAGGTCAAGGGTCACAGATCACAGGGTGGATGGTGCAGAGCTGGAGAGCGGTCGTTGTACAGAGAAGAGCCTCGGCAGAGAATCTCACTGAGAGAAGTGAAGCCGTGTTGAGTGAGTGGTCTCTCCCTGTTGCACGTGAAGCCGTGTTGAGTGAGTGGTCTATCCCTGCTACACGTGAAGCCGTGTTGAGTGAGTGGTCTCTCCCTGCTGCACGTGAAGCCGTGTTGAGTGAGTGGTCTCTCCCTGCTGCACGTGAAGCCGTGTTGAGTGAGTGGTCTCTCCCTGCTGTACGTGAAGCCGTGTTGAGTGAGTGGTCTCTCCCTGCTGCACGTGAAGCCGTGTTGAGTGAGTGGTCTCCCTGCTACACGTGAAGCCGTGTTGAGTGAATGGTCTCCCTGCTACACGTGAAGCCGTGTTGAGTGAATGGTCTCCCTGCTGTACGTGAAGCCGTGTTGAGTCGCTGGTTGAGGCGGTGGTGCTGGGTGCGAGCGGGGGTCTTGTTGAGCCCCCGCTCTGTCTCTGTGTTGGTTCTTGACACCGCCGTCCGTGTCTGCAGCTCCACGTTCACACGGCAGCACAAGTGGCACGACTGTCGCTCCTGAAGGGGAGACCTCCACCACACCAGTGGCCGACTGGTGGATGACGGTGCTGCAGACGATGTTGGCGATGGGCGTGACCCTGGGACTTGGGGCAGTCATCGTCACCTGCATTCAGCTTCCTCAGCCGTCTGGGAGCTCCCCCCACTCACGCAGGTGCCCCCCTCCCCCTGCCCTCTAGCCCAGGTTCCAGGATCGCCCAGCTCCTCAGGAATGACCGTAAATGCAGGAAGCTCGGCTCAGTTCTCAGAGGTGGCAACTCTGACGCTTAATTGGCACCACTGAGACCATGGGGTCGTTTCCCGTGAACTGTATCCAGGTGTTGCTGGGTGCAGGCACCGTGCGGTTTGTAAACTCGTGTTCTTGTTCCTCAGTGGCGATGGGCATGCAGACGTGCATGGTGGTGTGGAGGAGAATGGGCATCTACTGACGATGGTGAATGGACACAAGGGGGACAACGGAGACAAAGGCAGGGACGCCGTTTGAAGAAATCTTCTCTGGGCTCCCCCGTGACCACCCTGGCCGGCACGTGGAGCCGCTCTTACCCACAGTGCAATGCTGGAGTGCAGTGCTGACTACCTGTGCTTCATGTTGTCTAAGCCATAGGCTGGAACAGTTCTGTTGGGCAAGTGACTGATGTTTCTTGCTTTTTCTAAAGTTTTGAAGAGTGAGCAAGGCAAGCATGCCACTGTTGTATATATTGTGTTTAAAAATAAATTAATGTTATTTTATGAAATTATGCAAATTTATTAATGTATGCAAATGTGTGCAATTGTGCTAATTAGGCTCGATTAATAGTTTGTATTATGATCAATAGGTGTGAGTGTGTAGTTAAGTGTATTATGATTCTTGGCATGGCTTCGTTGTCTAGGGGTGTATTAGCAATCGTGATAATACAATGATTTGGAAGATCAAAGAATCGCCCAACTGCGACTGTGGAGAAGTCCAAACCATCAAGCACATCACCGATGAATGCTCCATCCATGCCCATCCTGGCGGTATCGCTGAAATCTACACCGAGTCAACCACATCATTGGACTGGATGAGGAACCTTTGCATTAATTTATGACGATCATTAAGAAAAAATAAAAACTGGTGCTTTTCACAATGCCATACCAAAAAAGTAGAAGAATACAATGATTCTCGCTTTAACTTTTACTGATTATGTTTTAGTGTAATTATGTCCGGTCTCAGGATTCAGATCTCGCCGCAGGATATATTTAAGATTATTATGCATGAACTTAGGAAGGAACCAATCAGACTCTTCTGCGTTAAGAAACTTTAATATCTAAAAACACTAATATGCGAACACAATTATGATCGGAATTGCCACCAAAGTACTCCTGTAGATGTCCTACTCATCGATCCATACAATTAACCCTCAATGGATACGTTTGTTAAAAGTGAACAATAGAACAATTTGCTAACTTCTCAGAGTAGCGCGACCGTACACAACGATAGTAAAAGTCCGTAAAAATGACAGTATTTATACGGAACCGTGCTAAAGAAACATGTGCCCAATGGCAAAAGTAGACATCAATGAATTCATTGGTAAGATTATGCATCTTGGTTCTTTCGGTAAAGTCACGTAGAAGGGAAATAATAAAATAAAACATTAAATAATTCTCACGACGTTTCGGCCACAACGCAAGCAGCCGTCCTCAGGTGAAGAACAGGTCTGTCGGAAAGACAGCGTTCGAATTAAGAAATGTCCTGAAACAATAGTGTACATGCGAGTGTGTATGTTTGGCAAACAGCTGCGAATCAATTGTCTATCGGGACATCAATGAATTCGCGGGCGAGATTCTGTGATCAAAATAAATATCTCCAGACAATAGCATTCATGTGAGTGTGTAGATTCGTAACATAGATGCTTATAAATGTTGTGTGTCATCAATGAATTAATTAGGTAAAGTTACGCGATGAAAGAAAACAAATTACTAAAATACTTCTAAACGACCGTATTCATGCAACTCAAGAGACAGAACAATGCTTTTCACGATCAGCTAATAGTTAACACCACCTTGGGATGGCAACCCTTTTCGCAACACAAAAAAAACTTCATGGAACAATCTTATTCGTACCGATATGCACGTTGTGTGTGTGTGGCCAGTCACCACGAGGTTCAAAAATTATAGCGGACAGCAGAGGTCGCAACCGGGTACCCGATACCCGTACCCTACCCGATACCCGGCCGTTTGCGACCCTGGTGGGTATGGGTACGGGTAGGCCGTGAGTTACTGGTGAGTCACCGTTTGTCACTCATTTCGGGGAGGGTACGGGTAGGGTACGGGTACCCATTTGCGACCCTGGTGCGGCCGGGTACGAGTAAGGAATCAAAACCCGTTTGCGACCTCTGGCGGACAGTATGGTTCTGACGAGTCAGAGTGGCTTCCGCGCTGCAGCGTTCCTTGTACCGAAAATACCTCAGGTCCCCAGCAGGGGCGCTGGGTCGGCATGTGTGTGTGTGTGTTGAACACACGGCAGAGGTCGCAATCGGGTACCCGATACCCGTACCCTACCCGATACCCGGCTACCCGTACCCGGCCGGGTACGGGTACCCGTTTGCGACCCTGGTGCGGCCGGGTACGGGTACGGGTGGGCCGTGAGTCACTGGTGAGTCACCGTTTGTCACTCATTTCCCAACGTCTTGTCTCTTCTCACAATTCAAGTTCCTAGAATAAACCCGCCCGCGCCTGCAACATGGCTTCATCCCAGAGGTCGCAATCGGGTACCCGATACCCTGCTACCCGATACCCGGCCGGGTACGGGTAGCCGGGTATCGGGTAGGGTACGGGTACCTGTTTGCGACCATGGTGCGGCCGGGTACGGGTAAGGAATCAAAACCCGTTTGCGACCTCTGCTTTGCGCGACCATCCTGCTTGTGAGCTGCTCCATCCCTGCTCCTCACTAGGCCCACCCCCACCCCCGTGTGACGTCACTCCAGATAAGGCCCACCCTCCCTCATTAATATTAATGAGTGGGTGGATTTTTACACGAACGCAGAGGAAGGTCGAGCTGAATTGAATAATTTATTACGCAAAGTTGCTTCAAATATGGCGTTTCTTTACAGAAAGTGACGCTAAAAATAAATCTACACAGCAGTGCTACATCCGTGACGTCACCCGCGTGGAAATTTACACGAACGCACAAGAATGTCGCGAGCTCCACATAGTGCAGGACGACGTCATCATGATGACGTCGTCCTGCACCAGCGACGCGTCGTACAACTCAAATTGTAAATGTTGTGGATTTACTCTCCAACACACCGGTGGGCTGAAGTAGTAACTAATCGGCGCGTTTTGTTTACGTGACAAATCCCTTCTTACTAATTGGCTGCGTCGGGTGGTGGAGGGTCACGACACATTTAAACAATCGCGATCTAACCCAAAAACCTTTATTATGAATAATATTGATCGCGAAAGCCTACGTGCTAAACCCACACACCATAGCAAGGGAATTGTGTATGGTCACGTTTCCATGAGACAACCTTGATTTGAAGATTTCGTGACTGCAGGAATCCATACTCTTTGCTTATTTCGGTAAAGTCGCGTAGTTAGAAATAAAAGAAAACAAATCACGACGTAAATTTCGATTTAAAGCTTTCGTGACTGCAGGGATTCATCTTCTTGGTTCTTTCGGTAAAGTCACGTAGAAGGGAAATAATAAAATAATAAAAATAGAACATAATAAAAGACAATTCTCAAAAATTGTATTTTATTATGTTTTATTTTTTTGTATTTTATTATTTCCCTTCTACGTGACTTTACCGAAAGAACCAAGAAGATAAATCACGACGTTTCGATCGCAACACAACCGGTCGTCATCAGGCAAACAAAAAAAATCACGAGGATCGAAACGTGATTTTTAAAATGTATTTTTTCTAACTACGTGACTTTACCGAAAGTACCAAAGAGTATGAGACGACCTATTGTTGTATTTTCATCACGTGATAGTGACATCCGACCTTTGACGTTTTCGGACCATTTGCGCCGCATTTCATGAGAACGCATTCTGTGCGAATATTGCCATTTCGAGGTGTTGCCTATGGAAACCTAATTAGAAAAAAAAATGAGTGTTGCCTATTGGTCTGTTTTAACCACGTGATCGTGAGATTCGATGGTTCATGTTCTTCTAACCACCTCGTAAGCATTTATGTTATGAACCCATATGCCTGCACGAATACAATAATTTTCATATTAGCTGTTTGTTTTTCTTTTAATCGCATAATCTTGCAAATCTGTTATTTGCTTTCGACCAATTTGATGAGGATCATTTACATGCACACGTATGCTGACATCGATACGGTTGTTGTGGGTGAGCCTGTAAGTATTATTTGATCACGTGATCGGGAGAGCCGATCGTTGATGCTTCTGACCATTTGATACGCAGATGTGTTTTTTAGGGTCTGACTATTGTGTTTTTTTATCACATGGTCGTGAATATTAGCCAATACTTTGTTTCTTGTCATTCAAAACAGATTGAGTACGTGTATTTGCATGGGTAATATCGTTGCTATTAATTCCTGTTGATAAGAGTTTGATGTTAGAGTAAGTTGAGATTAAAGTTGCTTAGATTAAAAAGAGGTTTCCGAGTGCTTTTTTCCTAAATGCGTCATCGTCGTAATGCGGTGAGATCCGGATCCCGAGAGCTGCCATAATTACACACATAATCGGTAAAGCGAGAATCAATCATAATTGCACCACACGTAATTAATCACTCACACATACAAATTAACAGTATTAAACACATTCTTAGTTAGACTTAACTCGTGTTTTTTAAATTACACTTAATTGAATTTCCTGTAGTAACATTTTACATTCATTTTGTAATTATTATTTTTCTCAATCACAATACTGTGTATACAACTGTTGAGTCTATGGGTGGCAGTGTTGAGTCTATGCGTGGCAGTACTGAGTCTATGGGCGGTGGCGGTGTTGAGTCTATGGGTGGCAGTGTTGAGTGTATGGGCAGTACTGAGTCTATGGGCGGTGTTGAGTCTGGGCAGTGCTGAGTCTATGGGCAGCGTTGAGTCTATGAACAGTGTTGAGTCTATGGGTGGCAGTGTTGAGTTTATGGTTGGCAGTGTTGAGTCTATGGGGTAGTGCTGAGTCTATGGGAAGTGTTGCGTCTATTTACAGTGTTGAGTCTATGAGAAATGTAGAGTTTTGGGTAATGTTGAGTCTATGGTGTAGTGCTGAGTCTGTGAGAAGTGTTGCGTCTATAGGCAGTGTTGAGTCTATGGTTAGTGCTGCTCAGTGTACATGGAAAGTTGATTCTATTGGAGGGCTGCAACGGGATTGGGCATAGGGAGATGGAGGCACAAAGAGAGTAGATTGGGAACGAAGAGGACGAGAGGAGGGGGCACGGAAGGAGCTGTGAGGTGAGGTTGGGCAAGGAGACAGTGAAAGACTCGAGTCAGGTCTTCTTGGCTCTTTCGGTAAAGTCACGTAGAAGAGAGTGTGAGAGTGAGTGTGTGTGTGAGTCTGTGAGATTGAGTGTATGTGTGTGTGAGAGTGAGTGTGTGTGTGAGTCTGAAAGTGAGTGTATGTGTGTGTCAGTCTGAGAGTGAGTGTGTGTGAGTCTGAGAGTCTGAGAGTTTGAGAGTGAGTGTGTGTGTCTGGGAGTGTGAGGGTGAGTGAGTGAGTGTGAGTCTGAGAGTGTGAGAGTGTGAGGGTGAGAGTGTGTGTGTGTGAGAGAGTGTATGAGATTGAGTGTATGTGTGTGTGTGAGAGTGTGTGTGTGAGTCTGAGAGTGTGAGAGTGAGTGTATGTGTGTGTGAGACTTTACCGAAAGAACCAAGAAGATGAATCCCTGCAGTCACGAAAGCTTTAAATCGAAACTCGAGTCAGGTATTTAAGAGAATGACTTGCTCTTGCAGATGGGACTATCATCACCACCATCGTCTGTTGAGTTCGAACCCAGTAAAGCAAAGTACACTCATGGTACACTCATGGTACCCACTCACGCTCAATAACGCACTCGCCCACCATCTGACTCCATCAATTACCCACTCACCCACAGTCTCACCATCTAACTGACCCGCTTGGTCACTCACCATCTCTCTCACCCACTCACTCACCATCTCACCCACTCAATCACTCACCATATAACTCACCCACCATCTCACTCACCCACTCAGTCACTCACCATCTCACTCACCCACCATCTCATCCATCTCACTCACCCACCGTCTCACTCACCCACCATCTCACTTCATCAAACACATTCCTGCGGAGGGAGCTGGTAGGAATGTTGGGTTGCTCGGTCAATGGCCAGGGTCAACGGCGGCGTGGTGTATTCTACAAATATGCCCGACTGTGAGGGTGGGCACAAGCCGGCGTGAGTAGGTTAAACGTTGAGTTTTATAAGGGCACCACGGGGTGACCAGCCCCTCCCCACCCAGCCCTACCCCTCCCACCCCCCACCCAGCCCCACCCTCCCCACCCAGCCCAGCCCCTCCCCACCCTCATCTCTCCACCCAGCCCCACCCCTCCCATTTTTGGATGCACGACGAACGAACACAATAATCCCCTGTGGGCTGATGGAACCAGATGGTTCCTACCAGTATAACCCACTCACTCGGTCACCATCTCACTCACCCGACTCAATCACCCAACCACCCATTCACTTCCCCGACTCTTGCAATCGAGACCACCATCCCTAATCCCCTTGATTCGTTTCCGCAGCTGCTTCGTTCAGACCAGACTCGAGCACTCGATAACCCCCTTGACGATGTTGCGGTACGTACGGTACGTACGGCACGGGCGTGACGGGTGTTAGGATGTGTCGACATACAATGCACGGAAACGCACCACCACCATCATCACCATCAATCATCATGGCCGGGTATTATGAGGGCGGTTAAGAAACATCGTGCCGTCATTTGATGAGTCACGCACGCGATGATACAGGTGTCTAGACCTGTAGCGGCAAAGGTCATTGACATGGTTTGCTGAGTCGCGTATGTAATAGTTGTAAAACTACCATTTAGGCTGAGAGCTTTCGTACGGGCATGTACGTATGTAATTTGCACGCAACAGTCCGTTCTC